CGGCGGCGGCGGCGGCAGCAACAGCGGAGGCGGCCCCCTTCAGGCGCCCGTCAGGGAAGGAACGGAAAGAGGGAAGGCGGGCGGGCGGCCACACGAGCCCCTTCTCCCGAGCGCCCCGGCCCAGGATTGCTGGATGTTGGAGTAGCGGCGAGGACGCGACGAGGAGCCGGCTCAGGAATGGAGCGGCAGCTCCGGCCGGGCGGCTGGGAGAAAAGCCCTTTCCTGCTGCAGCTGCTGTTGTGGCTGCACGCGCGGAGCCTCGCGGAACCCGCCGCCCAAGGTAAGCCCGCCCGCTCGTCTCCGTCCGCGGCGCCTCGTTCTCCGCCACCTCCGTTGAGGATGCGACGGTGGCGGCGGCAAGCGCTTCTTCTGGCTGCCCCTGCCTGCCTGCCTGCTTTGCTTTCCTCGCCCTCGGAGGCTTTGGTCCGGCAGCCGCGGGGCTGCAAAAGTCAGGGCGCGAAGTTCTGTGTCCCTCCCGCCTCTTTGCTCCTCAGTCGCGAGGGGAAGAGGGCGCGTGCGTGCGTGCCGGCCTTGCCAGAGTCGCTTCCGAGGCAAAGCGCGCGCCGAGGAAAGCCCCTCGCGTGGGAATCCGCGGGGCTCCGTTCGGCGCGAAACGAGCCCCTCTTTGCTCTTTCCCGAGAGCTCCCACTCAGTCACGGGGTCGCCATCAGTGCGAGGCTGCTTGACGGCGCGTCACCGCCGCCGCCTCGCCACGGTCTTCCTTTAGGCGGCAGTCCTTGGGGTGAGGGAAAGCCGCCTGGAGGTTAGGCGCCGGGGTGTGTGTGTGTGCGTGTCTGTGCGTCTATTCTGCGTGTGTTTCTAAATAAACTTGTTTTGTGTGGAGAGGGATTCTGCTGAACTGTTTCATTTTGGACTACTTAGGGCTTCACTTAGGATTCAGCCGCGCCTGGAATGTAAGAGCCCCGCCAGTGCTAGGGACGCGTGAAGAGGACAGAGGACCTCTGACCATGTGCAGAGAACACTTTCGTCCGTCATTGAGAAATCTGGAATTAGGAAGCGTGGCATTTAGAGCATGGCTTAAGCTCCTTGTAGGAAGGAATCCCTTCTTCTGCTGAGAGACTCAAGCCGTCTCCCCCGCCCCAAACTCCCTCTTCCCCCCTCTCCCCGCAGGCCGCCTCTGTGGGCGCTGGCTGTCAGCTCCAAACTCTCTCCGTTAAGCCGCTTTTTCTTCCCCCTCCGAAGCATGGGCGCCGAATCGGGCAGAGGGGGAAGGGGGGGGCTTGCAAAAGGGAAAGTTCCGGTGTTTGGTTTGGGTTGCGCTTTGGAGAGGGGGGGGGAAGAAACACGGATAAACTCTGCACATGCTTGGAGCCACCCTTGCGTTGTTTCCTCGGTTGCAATGCTGACTCCTGAAGCGAGAACCGGAAACGAAGCCCCAGAGAGCAGGGGCTGTGGCGGAGAAAGCCGTTCGACTGGGTGCGATGCGAGGGGTTGGCACTAAACGTTACTGGCTGGGTGCTGGAGGCGATCGCTCCCGTGTTGCCCTCGCCGCGGAACTCCTGTTGTTCCCTCCACTTTTCCAGCCCTTACCCCACTCTCTGTTTTGCTGGGAGAAGCTGCTGCAGGAGTCCCCCCCCCCGGATCTCCCCAATTTCCCAACCCACCTCCTTTTGCAAGGGTTTCCATTCCGTGCCCTACGAACCTGGAGCCTCCATGCACGGATCCAAATGAACCAAAGCCTCGATTTAGCTCTGTTTGCTCTGTGGCTTCCAGATTTTGTTAAGTTTAGCACAAAACTCACTAGGTCTAAACAGCCTTCAGGCAATCTGACTGGCAGCTGTTTGGTTAGTCAGCCTGGTTTGTAGACTCCCAGGCATTATCTGGATTATCCTTAAAAACAAAACCAAAGGTGCGCTGTGGGCCTTAACAACAAAAGACCTTGTGGCACCTCAAAGGTCTTAACACATTTTTATTTGGCATAGGCCATCCTGGAGTGTAGCCTGCTTGCTGCACCTGGTGGTGAGGTCTGCGGTTCATGAAAACTTATGCCAAATAAAACATGTTAGTACTATTGGTGTTGCTGCAGCAGAGTAATTTATAGTGCCAACGGAAGTTTCCCATGTCTGATCTTAGACCTGCCAGGTTAAGTTCTGCTGGCAGAAGAGTCAGAAAAGGAGTGGAGAAACAGCAGAGAGAGGGAGAAGCCAAGCTGTATCAGACTCAAACCTCCTTCACCTCAAGGAGACTGGCATGATGGTGGCACAAAGTTATGCCAGGAAAAGAACTGATTATGCTAATTCCAATTTACCTTAACCCTTCTCAAGGTTTTCTAATTTTCTCAAGGATCACCCATGTGAGCCAGGAGGTGAGGCTGAGGAGCCTGACACTGAGAGAGGCCGGGAAGGAAAAGACACAAAACCGGGCCTTCTGGGCGGTGGCTCCTCGCCTCTGGAACAATCTCCCTCCTGAGATTCGTGCGTCCCCACTTTGGGCACTTTTAAAAGTCAACTAAAAACATGGTTGTACATCCAGGCCTTCCCTCCAGCTAATATCTGATTTTTATTACCCCTATTTATTCTTTATTCTATTGTATTTGTTATAATATGATATATAATATTTTGCATTATTTATTGTTTATATCGGAAGCCACCTAGAATGGCCTTATAAGCCAGATGGGTGGGGTATGTATGTATGTATGTATGTATGTATGTATGTATGTATG